ACCAGAAATAAGACCTATCAAAATCTATCTGCACAAAACAATACCAGGTTAAATAAGTATAAAATATTTCTTGTCCAATGTAAATAAATTATTTAACTTAAATATATTAGCATGAATCCTAAACTTAATATTTTTGTCAAAGAGTAAACCCTGTATATATTTGGACTTATCTAATATATAGAAAATATCTCGCTAAGAGTTGGTCATAGAAAATGTATGTTAGATTCATTCATAAAGAGATTAAAATGCTTTATAAATCTGATAGTCATAGATTTTAGACATGCAATAGCGTTCTTATTTTTGATGAAGCATTTACTGCTGAGTACTTTCCTTCCCCATGCCTGTCATGTCATTATTTCCTGTATCGTCATCACATTTGCTGATTGTCAACAATATTTTGACAGGCGCAAATATATTTGTTATAGACAAAAAAAAAAAAAAAAAAAAAAAAACTTTCCTAAAACATAAAAAAATTATATTATTAGTTATTTTAAATATTTATAATTGTATTTTCATCCTGCTTTATTCAGTTCACTCGATAACGTATTATCCATTAACAATTTCACTATAGGCTGTCCATAAATGTGTTCCTGCTGTCTCGAAAACATTAAGACACACCTAAATAACTTGGTCTAGGTAATTACAATAAAGGTGATTCAATTTTTGGTATTGTATAACAGGTGTTCATGGTAAGTAAATAATGGTAAGTATTTAAAGAAGAGAAAGAAAACCGTAAGTGCAAAAAAATGTTCATATACAACACCATGTTCAGAAAGCGTGTGCACAGCACCGCCGTTGCCCGGCAACCCGACAAATGAATCTACTGATATAAAAATAGCCACAAGTTCGCTTTCCGGTGCCGAGGGAGTCTTTTAAATCCCCGTCCACACTCCCTGGCTCGGAAAAACCCCGTATAGCCTTAACGGCGAGGAAGGGGAGGACAAAAAAAAAAAAAAAACACCATGGTCGGATTCCAAGTAGAACAGGAGGAAGTTTAATAGAAAGCTATAACTAAAATAGTATTTTATTTAGGTAATTAGCTATTGCTACATGGTAAACCGTCTTTGTTTTTTGCTTCGATGTCTAAGCGCAAAACATCCAGGTCATCAGCGCCCAATCAACTGTCTATGTTAAAACCATTTGACCAGAGAAGTTTTAAGCAGTTAAATTCATCTGTTTTTCGAAAAACCCTGGGTTATTCGTGATTTTTTATGAGCCTTATACACTCGAATACAGATTCCTCACTTATAAAAAGTTACTAGTTTATTAAACTTTAAGTTTATAATAATTAAGATAAGATTTGTCTCGAGCTATTTCAAAAAATATATGATGTCAACCAATGGCAACTCAAAGTCTCAAACTATTTTTTCCTAAAATCGTTACAGTTCTCAACATGCTTTTTAATGCACAATAGAAAGAAAATTTTTGCTTTTAGGAAGAGAGAAGTTAATTATAACAGGATATCGAAAAAAAATCGGTACAAAACGGTTTCATACATTTCAGGAAAGTAGAGAAATCGCCTTATTTTTGAAATTAGTATGGCAATTCCAAAATATTTGAGGTTCATACTTGTAAAGAATTGTCTTCTCTTTAAGAATGAACTGAACAATCATTTTATACGAACAAAAGTTACCACGGTTGGATCTACGGGGGAGGAGTAGGGGGGAGGGGGAGCTTTGGGACTGAAGCCTCCTCCCCAAAATGGTAGAATATAATCATGTTTCATGGAAAAAAATATTTAAAAAATTATCTCTTAAAGTATTATTGTTCGTGTAATTAAATTTAAAAGGACTTTAGGAATCACTTAAAACACAATTTCATATAGGTAGTTAGTTTCTTTCTCTCTTTCCAAAAGTAATTATCGTTATTTTTATGAAAAAATAGCTTTCGGGTTGAAGCTCCTCCCCTAAAATTAAATTCTGGATCGGTGAAAGTTACCGAAAAAAGGAGATTTTTTTTAAAAACACGGTTTTTTCATGCTATAATATAAACTAATTAAAAACAATTCTTACCAAATCGTTTGCAAGGTATGATGGACATTGCATCTGGATTATATATATATTTCAATTGCATTCACTCTAATCACTATCGTTTGATAAAACCTCAAAACCACGCGTTTGTAATCATTCAATTCGTCTAAAACTACCAAAAAAGTGCAACAAATCCAGATCAGCTGCGTCGTAATTTGACCGTCCATCACAGCATGCGATTTCAACAGGATTACAGGAGGGCAGCATGAATTAAGTATTAAGTAGGTCTATCTTTCTTGATTTAGAACAGGCTTTTGACCGAGTCTGATTTCCGAAACAGGTTTATAAACTTCATCAATTCTTTAGAACTTCTTTCTCTACGGAAAGACTCCACAGAAATACTATCCATTTTAACTGCTCCTTTTTCTATTCCCAATGATACTCCATTAGAAATCAATTTACGTTATATCATTCATTATCACTCTCCGTCACTGCTCTTAAAGGTACATATCCGTTTTTAGCCCATGTGCAATCACTACATTGTGTTTTAAATTCAGACAAATTTGACAACTTACGAAAAATTTTATAAATCTGGAAGAAAAAAATATCTGTAGCATAAAGGGTCTTGAGCTTAGAATAACGTAAGGAAGTCAAGGTGATTGAAAATCACTTAACAGTTTTCCCAGAAGTACTCCATGCAGTGTCAAAGAATGGAAAATTCCCATACATAACGTGAGCATACACACTGGAAACTCTTGCTGAGAGGTTCTTGGAAAGGTTGCTAGACAAACTTGCAAAGTAGATTGACCAGCCTCAACCTTTTGATTTTCAATTTGTAAAAATAATTAACAAAAGGATAGCAACAGATCAGATGAGGCTTAAGTACTCCGAAATGGTTGAATGGAAGAAGTGGGTATATAAGTGGAAGAGGAAGGACGTACCTCTCCTCGATTCCCCCGAGGACAATCTGTTGCCTGGTTCCGAGCCACAACGGGCCAGGATGTCCTTCACAAGCACCTGCACCAGATGGGAATTACAAATTCTTTAGAATGCCTCCTTCAACAATGGAGAGATGGTAAGAGAACTACTTGACGCATGTTCGTCCACTGAGAGTAAAAGATCCATTTTTAAAGATGACGAAAGCATGTACGCTAGCTGAGAAAAATTATATTGGGTTTCAAAAAACCAAAAATAATGGGTAAATAAGCCAACATAATCTTGTTAGAAGAGAAAACAAGTTATTAGTATATAGATCATAAACACAGAATGTCTCACATGCATTAGTCGGTACAATTGTATTAATTATTAACTAAAAATCAAGTAATACTAACTTAGGTCCTAAGGAGATGGAAGTGCACTGAAAATATATGTCTAGATGTCTCCAAAAATTAAAGAGATCTGAGGTTGGATGGATGGATGGTGCAATCTCTAGACAGTGATTTATAATTTAATTAACATAATTATTTATTTTTAAATATGGTTAACTAATAGCGATATACAAGTAATATTTTGGAATCACAGAGGAAGTTTATTATATTAGTTGTTCTAATAACGTGGCTCTGGACAGCTTGAATGTTGAGAGCAGTGACCCATCATTATGTTCTACCTAGATACAGGGTTCAATGGACTTTCTCAACCAATATCCTAATATGTTCAATAGAAAGTACCCTTTTCTATTTATTTTTTATTTTAATGCACACGCATATGGAAATAATACATAACAAATGAATTATCATGGTAGGCTTTAAATAATAGGTCTTAATAAAATTATTGTAACATAATGTATTCATGATTTCTAAGGAAAATATTGAATAACCGGATGATTGGATATAATAATCAATTTTTTTAAATTAAATCAATCCCAAAAAAGAACCAAGAAGCAGATTCTTGTTGTTTGTGCTAAACGTGACATTTTGTAGTCTACAACTGCAATAAGTTTGCTACTATGGAAAAGGAAAAGGGAATCATTCAAAGTAGCAAAATGGAAGCGTAGGGAAATAAAATATGAAATTAAACTAATAAATCGTACATACGTACATTTGTACGTAAATTTGTACATACGACCTTTTGTACTAACAGTAGCGTTATTTTGACCAAGAAGTAACACAAAGTAACCACCTGACTGTCTCATCAATTGATCAATTTCTATGTTTTCGAATTATTAATGATGCTTTAGAAAATAATCTCTCAGCAGGTACTGAAATCGCAGGTATTTATGGTATTAATAAATTCTCGAGCTATTTTACTAGGAGTGGCTACTGTTCATCACAGTGGCTCACCGCTTTTAATCAGATTTTTTTTTCGGTATATCGAAAAATATTGGACACATGTCCCAGTTAGTTCCAATGGGCTCTAGAAGCCGAAAAAAAAATTATATAATTTCAATCAAAATTTATGTTATTTGCCTTTACACTTATGTTATTTAGGTTAGTAAACGTTAGTGCAAAAAGTCAAAATGTTTACATACGACTTTTTGTACTAACAGTAATGATATTCATGTTCAGTACGCACTCGATTTTTTTTTTAATCCCGAGTCATCAAATATGCAATCTGCATATGCGGAACTTTTTCGCATTTTAGTATTGATGAACAAAGCTCATGGATATCAAATCCGTATATGTTGAGGTATTACTGGATTTACTGAAAAAAGGCTTCTCCCAGAGATTTTATTCTCATACGAAAAATTTTAGCCCTTGTAATGTAGATATTTTTTAGCCAATGCAAACCTTGAGGAAGCTATTCTGACCTTCCTTGGCAGACATTTTTTTTAAGATCTAAAGTAACATGTTTAATTAATATCAATACTAATTGATAACAGCAAGACTCTTGCAAGATTCCTGCGCAAGACCAAATCCAGGTGTGTTGACGGGAGACCAAGACGAAGACTGACCAAATCTTTTAAGACTTGGTCTTACGTTTGGGCAACACTACATTCCATCTAGACGTGTAGCGAGGAAAACAAGATGTGACGTACTACGGATGCCCTTTCCTCATCACTGTGATGTACAATCGTCGTCAACAGGGAACAAATTTGAAACTGGCGGGGATCGGCCAGATCCAAGGCCGACGAGAAAGCTCGGACCCAGTCAGTCATGGACAACAGGACGGGAATGTTGTGCGTCGCTCTTAGCAGCCTAGGTGAGTACATCTCATTCGTTTCTGCGATAGAAAAATAATTTAGTATACTTGCTTAAAACGGAAAATTAAAATAATAAGGCAATTTTGTAAACCGTAGTTTTGGTCGGCTTGCAGGAAAAAAGTTTTCGACTAACTGTCAAAACTTGTTTGTATCGATGAACTTCAAGATTCTCTTCAAGATGATAATATGATTCTCGAAGAATCATATTATCATTGCATATGGTTATTTCTAATGAGCAATTAGAAAACAAATATATAATAGAAAAACACTCCTTCTGTTGGTTGTTTAATCTTTGGGAACACATCAACTTGCAATTACCTAAAATGCATAGTCATACAATTGCCAAAAGTAACCAAAAGAAGTACTTATATTCGTTTCAAACTAGTTGAGAATCAAGAAACACAGAGAACAAGTTAATGACTGACGTTTAACGGTGAATCAGACGACTGGTTTATTGTTAGCCCAGGGAATGATCTGGCGTTTGTTTACTGTCAAACTGTTTTTGTTTTTTTTGGTTAAAAAAAAAATCCTATCCTAAAATCACACATATCAATTTTAATATTCCTTTAAAAAATAAATAATTAATATTAATTAAATTAAAAATATTCCAATCCTATATCTATTTTTTTAAAAATTGTCTATTTGTTTCAAATAATTTCAGAATAAAACATCTGAGATTTTTATGTTTGTTTTCAGATAATACCTCACAAATTTTTGAAAAAGTCCTTAACCTTCTTTTTTTTTACATCATTCATTATTCTAATGTTTGTTAAAAAGAAATTTGACCAGAAAGATGTATATGTAAGTTTTTCTTCCTCAACTAATAACTAATTTTATTAACAATTTATCAAAAAATACAACATTATCAAATAATTATTGTAAATACATTATAATAAATAAAAGAAGGAGATGGTCCGGGATGGCGGTCATAAATAGGCTAAATAGTGATAAAACTATTTTATTAAAAGCCAACGTTTCGACCCGACTTTGCAGGTCTTCTTCAGGGAGGTGTGTTCAGCTTAGAACTCTAAGTGAAAGACTAATAAATTCATTATAATCCTAATTCATCCTAATTTATTATAATAAATAATCTATCACAAGAGAGTTTTAATATCAACGCTGATCAATTTATCAAAGCTTATGTAATGAATGATCATAATTTTGTATCCCATCTAAAAATAACAATAACAGTTATTTCAATTTAGTCATTACTAAAAATTTAGTTGCCTCAGTGGTCAAGGATGCTAAAGCCGCATTCCAGTATGGGCAAGTTCCTGTGCTCGGCGCTAATTCCTCCGAAGGAATCCATCAATCGATTAAATCCAGGACCGATGGACAGCGATCTATGCTGAGTTCAGAAACGACTTGCTAACGTCCAGAGAAAGGTCATCACTCCTAGAAGCTTACAAAACACAAGGGAATTAAAAAAAAAATATGCAATGAAATACTTACCTACTGAATTGTTGAATTTGTAATCAGAAACAAATATAGATGGGAAGTAAACTGAATATAATTAAATAAAGAAAACAATGAGGTTACAACAAGCGGATTTACCCAATAAGTCGATGAAACTACTGATCCATCGGTGATTTAGACAATGAAAGGAACACGCTTAATTCCATTTATAAATCCTTCGATGAGTTTAGAAACGGCCTGATGGATTTCTGATACCCATCACTGAGATTAGCGTTGAATTTATGAAATCGCCCTCAACTAAAATATGCCGTTTCAAGTTCGGTCTGTAAGATTTGATTTTTACGTAATAAATCTTGGTCCACCCATTTGTATGTAGAATTTGAATTTTAAACTATGACACACATTTTTATCCAAGGCTAGAGTACCTAAGTACATAAAGGTATTTACAGTAATAACCCATATAGAAAATTTAAGCATTATTTAGCTAAAATATCAATAACACAAAAACAGGCATAAGTCAAATATTTACCATACTATTAGGAAACTCCAAACAAAAGCCTTGAATCTCTAAACTGAAGCTAAACAAAGAAATCCGGTAACGTTCTGTCGAATCTGAAAATCAGGACAGAGACAACCTAAATATGCAGACTTGTGGGGTTCGTCTTTCAGGAATAATCCAAAATTAAATGAATAAATAAAATAAAAATAATAATCATAATACATTAACTAGAGGCATTACATCCTTCCATGGTACCTAAACACATACTGAAGAAACAGCTGATAACCAACTGTATTTTTGGCTGTTTGATTTAATACTTTTGATATTGGTATTTTGTTAAAAAAAAATATATATATATATATATATGGAGTGATACTGTCCCTCGTTACGATAATGCTTATGTTTCTTTTTTAAAATATTGATGGAAGCTACATTGTATTTTTCTTCATTTATACGATTCAAGTTGTTTATGTCCGAATCAGTTTATTTACCAACACTAGAGACTCAAGACTGTGTTTGGAATTTCTTAATTATATCTAAACAATAGCATTTATATTTAGAAAATAACAGATATAACATCATAAATCTAATATGCGTATGCTGATTTATTTATATCAGTGCCAAATTTTATTTGCGAAATAGTAAAAAGCACTTTTTTTAGCTTTGGAGACCAACGATTGGTACACAATAATCATTCAAAACAAAAATCTTACCAATACTTCAGTAGTTTTTGGAACTTAATTTTTTCATTCAAAAAAATTATTGAAGTGGGTTTATAAATGATTACCATAACCTAAACCATTCAAATATATTCGATTAAAAAAAAAAAGTTTTCTTTTTTTCAAGAAAGGCTTTATATTTCACAAAATTATTTATAAAACTTTTAATGAGAGAATGCAAGTCAATTTTCAATTATGTCGTTCTATTATAAAATATTCCCAGAAAAAATCGATAAGATTTAAATGGGTAAAAACTGTTTGCGTTAATTTTATTTCGCAAAACATTTCAAAAATTAAAATGTATTTAGTATGTAAATTTAGTATATTTGAAAATAAAAATAAAATTGATGTGAACTTATTTTTTTTTTTGTACCGTATTATTTTTATAATTTATATATTCTATGTTATTTGTTTATAAGTTTTTTCTTTTTTTCTTAAATTGTATAGTTATTTTTTGTTATTATAAATATCTTCACAAATTTGCTAAAAGCAAAAATTATCTTTTTTATATTACACTATTTTGAGTATGGATGAAGTATGATTAATAAATCTTCAACCATCTATCAATTTATATTTATTATTGATAAAAATGAATAATGTTTATAAAGTTTGAATTATTATGGTATATTGGTTCTACTATAATAAATAGAGCAATTTAAATATTTTCATGTAGAATTATATCTATCATCCACAACCAAATACACATTTCTAATTGGACATAAATTTTTATTATAAATCAATAAACAAATAATTTGGTAAATTTTGCAAGTTCACGATTTTCTTATTTCCAATGCCATGGACCACCGATCAATAGGTCACGTTAGGCAATCGAAAACGTTATGGTGTTTTAAACATTTCGCGAGAACTAAACAATCGTCTGTCGACATTAGAATTAGAAATAAAACAATCCTTTTGTTAACCAAACAAGTACCATAATTATATTTCAATATTATATACATAAACAAGTATGATATACTACTAACAGACTTTACCCTCAATATTTTTTATAATAAATATATTATAAGTTTCATAAAAATCATAAAATTATAATAAATTAAGTCAAATATTAAGATAATTCATTAAATCTGAATTTCCATTTTTTTTTATTAGCTAAAAAAGAAATTCAATTGCTAAATTAAATTAATATGTTTTTAAAAACTAACCTGATAAATTCTGAATTATTTCACAATTTTTTGAATGATTTTTTTTTTTATAAAGTTTCAATAATGATTCTACTTTTTTTAATTCCGAAAAAATCTAAATCGAATATTCAATGAATAAAAAATATTTACATTATTATTTCACTTTAAAAATAATATAAATAAAGGATTCAAGCTTGATTTATTGGACCGTTTCCCTTCTCAATCGAATTTGAGTGTAAAGTATACAATAACAAATTAACGCTAGGAACATATGTTTTTTGAGAAAATGTTTCAAAAGCTAAATTGGTCATTTTTTTTTCTTTTAATACTTATAAATTCAGATAGTTATTAACTGACTCATCCCCAAGAAACCTAAAAAACTGATGAAACATTCCCAAGAATTGCAAAAATGTGTGAAATTCATTAAACAGCTGAATAAAACAGTTTCAAAATAAATCATTTCCCTATTTCACTGATAATCAGGTAGACAGATATTTCAATACATTATACCAGGATCAATGACAATTATTTTTAGGATCTGATTAATCATAACAACTAGATTGGACAATATTCGAGATCTTCCATTACGATTCAATCATCAAATTATTAAACACAATTATATATTCTTCACATAAATAAAAGCTCATATCAAACCCTAAACCCGAACCACAAAAAATAAACGAATACCTAGGGTTCTGATTTTGTTCATTAGGTATCGTTAGCGTTAATGTATTTTATATGTATGGCCCAGAAGCATTTGTCTTCTTCTGATTAGGAAGAAAGGAGCAAACATTTTTATCTTCCTTGATATATATTTTTTAAAATGAGTTATATTTATTTATTTACGCACAGATATATGCATATATATTTGGTAGTGTTGCCCAAAATCGGTCTTGGTTTTGCAGTTTGCAAGACAAAGACCAATACCGCCTAACCGATGCAAGGCCAAGACCAAGACTGGAAAAAAATAGATTTTTTGAATAAAAATTAAGTTAATATAGCTACTAATTTTTTAATATAGTTTCTTAATATTTTAGTTACTATGGCATATGTAAAGAATTCGTATATCAAATATAATTTAGCATTTAACTCCTCTAATTTTTCATTCGGACTTACTGAGGTTTCTTCCATCTAAAAAATTACAGTAACGTCTCTATAGTAATAAGATAATAGGTTATTGCAAGACTGTTGCGAGACTCTTGAGCAAGACCAAGACAAACATC